GCCTTCGCCAGGGTCGCCCAAAAGCTATCTAAAGATATGTTCGAGGTTTCCAAGGCTGTTCTGAGACCATAGTTCGGCGGCGAACGAGGAGGAGAAATGACAAGCTAGGTGCGCTCGCGTCATATCTGATGTTCTACCCCTCCCTCCCATCCCTTACCATGGCGTAAATATCATCTTTATTCGCACAGTCGGATGTCGCAGCATGGCGTAGCATTACATGGCATAGTATGGTGTTGAAGATCAACGCATCGGATGGCATACCGTACATCGACAAAATGTTGCACCATTTTTGTTGTGCATTGGCAACTGTACTGCATTGCTCTTGCCCCCACCCTTCCCCCGATCTTAATATTGGGTGCATGGCGAAGAGCCCCTGTTCCGCCCGGGGGCTCCCGACAAAATGTTGCACTACCGAGCTGTTTCGACCAGCCCTGACCGAACCCAATATTAAGATCGGGGGGGAGGGGGGGAACAAACGATTGATATAGCAGCGATGCGATTTATTGTCAGCGCCAGGTGGTGCAACGTTTTGTCGATGTACCGTAGCATGGCGTGGCGACGCCCCAAAGTGGGGGGGCTTCTGCGGCCCCAAAAATCAACGAATCGACACCGAATGTGAAATCACTTCCGATGGTTTTTTCGGGAGGCATTTTTTCAGATTTTGGGGCCTGTTTGGAAGGACCGCAAACCATGCCGTGGCATGGCACTGGAAATAATGACGCGAGCGCTGCAGCGGGAGCACGATCCAGGACGAGCGGAAACGCGAAAATGAGGCCAACGCTGCAGCGGGAGCACGATTCGGAACGAGGGGAAGCGCAGAGATGAGGCCAGCGCTTCAGCGGGAGCCGATTCGGAACGAGCGGAGGCCCGAAAATGAGGTCAGCGTTTCAGCGGGAGCAACATTTTGAAACAAAGCCCAAGCAAAAACCCAGTTTCAGGGAATCTTGCAGTATACAAAAAAGACGCGGGGGAGAGTAGTATTCATATTATGTAATTGTCAAGGAGGAGGCCTGCTGAGAAGGCGGCGTGACTTCGCAGAAGCCCTCGCGCCTTCTAAGAAGTTCTCTGTGCTTTCGGGGGAGGCTCAGAAAACTTCTCAGAAGGCCGAGGGGCTTCCGAGCCTTCTGGGAAGGCACGCCGCTTCTCACTGCCCCTCTGGGCCCGCCGCCGAGTCGTGGGACTTCTTGGGGCCATGTGGGGCCACGCGGAGAAGCCGCGGAAGCCATGCCGAAGCCGCCGGGGCCCGTCCAGGCGCAGAGCCAGGGCCGCCGGCACGCCGCTGGCACCGTTCGTCCCCCACCTCGGCCCTTAAAGGGCGCGGCGCGCCTCAGGGGGTGCGCGCCGCGGCCCCAGTCACCGCTACCCTCCCCCCCAACGCTCCCACCCCCCCGGGTAACATGCGTCAGCCCCCAGGAATGAACCGATTACGCTACCGAGGAACCCCACATACCTATTTCATTTCCCATGTGTACCATCGGTGCTTCTGCTGCTGCTCCTCCTTCTCCTCCTCGGTGTCCTCCTCCTGCTGCTGCTCTGCTGCTGCTGCTGCTTGCTGCTGCTGCTGCTTCTGCTGCTGCTGCGTCTGCTGCTGCAGCTGCTGCTGCTGCTGCCGCTGCTGCTGCCCCACCTCCCCGTCCTCCTCCTCCTCCTCCTCCTCCTCCTCCTCCTCCTCCTCCTCCTCCTCCTCCTCCTACCTCCTCCTCCTACCTCCCAGCGCACCCCCTGTGGCGTCGAGGACATGCCACGCCTGCCACGCCCTGGGAGCCTGCAGCGCATAGGGCCCCCACCCCCAGCGCACCCCCTGTGGCGTCGAGGAAATGCCACGCCTGCCACGCCCTGGGAGCCTGCAGCGCATAGGGCCCCCACCCGCAGCGCACCCCCTGTGGCGGCGAGGACATGCCACGCCTGCCACGCCCTGGGAGCCTGCAACGCATAGGGCCCCCACCCCCAGCGCACCCCTTGTGGCGTCGAGGAAATGCCACGCCTGCCGCGCCCTGGGAGCCTGCAACGCATAGGGCCCCCACCCCCAGCGCACCTCCTGTGGCGGCGAGGAAATGCCACGCCTGCCACGCCCTGGGAGCCTGCAACGCATAGGGCCCCCACCCCCAGCGCACCCCCTGTGGCGGCGAGGAAATGCCACGCTTGCCACGCCCTGGGAGCCTGCAACGCATAAGGCCCCCACCCCCAGCGCACCCCCTGTGGCGGCGAGGACATGCCACGCCTGCCACGCCCTGGGAGCCTGCAACGCATAGGGCCCCCGCCCACGGCGCACCCCCTGTGGCGGCGAGGACATGCCACGCCTGCCACGCCCTGGGAGCCTGCAGCGCATAGGGCCCCCACCCCCAGCGCACCCCCTGTGGCGTCGAGGAAATGTGCTGTGCTGTGCTGTGCTGTGCTGTGTTGTGCTGCTGTGCGGTGAGCTGTGCTGTGCCGTGCTGTGCTGTGCTGTGTTGTGCTGAGTTGAGCTGAGCTGAGCTGTGCTCAGCTGTGCCGTGCTGAGCTGAGCTGAGCTGAGCTGTGCTGAGCAGTGCTGTGACTGTGAGGAGGAGGGGAAGAGTGAGGTGTGTGTGAGAGAGAGAGAGAGAGAGAGAGAGACACGGAGAGTGAGGTGTGAGGGTGAGTGTCGCGGGTGCGGCGCGGCAGCGAAGAAAACCAGAACCCCACGAAACATGTGGGGAAAAGTTGTCTCCTTCGCTTTCCAAGCTGGCCGGGCCCAGCTCCCTGGGGAGGGGTTTGGCGAGGGGCAACGGCAGACCCCCTCGAGGCGTTAAAAAGCACGACTGCACGTTTTTCGCTATCCTCCTCCTCTGGGTGCCCTTACCGGGCTTCGGGACCGCCAAAAGACGACACAGGATGAAAAACTGCTCCTCGGGGAATAGGTCGAGACCTCGGGGGGTCTACGTGCTGAACAGATCACGACGTCGGAGGTCTGGACTGGTCTCACGCGCCCAGCGACCCCGAGGGGTCGGCGGACGTTTCCAGCCCGCGGCCCCAAAGATCCCGACTCCCCAGGGCCAGACCTTCGCCCGGGATCCATGTTTCGTGGCCCCGGGGCCCGAGAACGGGCCCCCAGAGGCCGAAGGCGAAGGAAAAGCGCTGGGGGTGAGAAGCACATGCCGTCGGAGAGCTGGGGATGAGTCCCGACGAGCGAATGCGTAGAATGTTTCGTGTATGTATATAGAGATACACTAGTGTCTATAACCGTACATACATATACATATCTATATGTACATATATATATATATATGTGTGTATGTATAAGTATACATGTATGTAGACGTGTGTGTGTATAAGTTGTTCATACAGTTGTGTGTATGTATGTATGTATGCATGCGTGCATGCATGCATGCATGTATGTATGTATGGATGGATGGATGGATGGATGGATGGATGGATTGATGTATGTGTATGTGTATGTGTATGTGTATGTGTATGCGTATGTGTATGTATGTAGTTTTGTATGCCTGTATGTATGTACATGTAAATGTGAATGCACATGTAAATGCAAGTGTAAATGTACAGTTGAATGTAACTGTACATGTACATGTACAGGTGCATGCGCATGTAAATGCAACTGTAGATGTATATGTATAAAGGGGGGCTGGGACCACACACACACACACACACACCGAACAAAAGTCGACCACCCTGGGCGCCCAAGAAGCCCCCAAGATGGCCCCAAAGAGGTCCAAAACGGTTCCAAGACGGCCCAAAAGCGGTCCAAGACGCCCTCATATGGCTCCACTACAGGTCAAGAGTCTCCCAGAACGCCCCAAAAGGCCCCCAAGTAGCTTTACGACGGTCGAAGAGGCCCCCCCAAGACGCCCCGAAGAGCCCCAAGAGAACGCCAAACAAGCCAAACTCGTTCCATTCCCGAGGGGAACGTGCATTGTTAGCCATACTCGTTTTTTGTTTTCTAAGGCTCCAGAACGGTTCAAGAGGCCCTCCAAATCGCCCCAAGAAACGCATCCCGAGGCCCCCACGAAGCCCCCTACAAAGCCCCAAGAGGGCCCCAAGACAGCCCCAGAAAGCTCCATGACGACCCAAGATAGCCCCAAAACGGCCCACGAGAACCACGGGACGGTCCCCCAGAGGTTCCCAAGAAAGCCCCCAGACAGTCACAAGAAGCCCCCAGCAGAGCCCCACGACGGCCAGAACCCCCCGAGGCAGCCCACAAGGGCCCCAAAACGGTCCAAAAGGGCCCCAAGACGGTCCAGAAGGGCTTGTTAAGAAAACTTGGAAGCGCCCCGCACGCGCGACCCCGCACGCGGCAGCTACAAAAGTGTGGTTGAGCGCCCGATCGGCTTGGTCCTCGTTGACGATCTGGTCTGCGAAACTGTGCAGCTTAGTTCTCTTGCATGTCTAACTCACCGCCACAGGGGTGGCGTTGCTCTCCGAACAAGAAACCTTACGCCCACGCAGTGACGCTTTGGCGTTTCTTCGTAACCGACTTCGTTCGCGGTAACCAGGTACCACGGTGGCCCCAAAAAGTTACCAGTAGAACCCAACAGGCACTCAAAGACCACCAGAAGCCCGGAACCGATCTCGCGAGATTCCCGGAAAGCCATTCAAGGAGGAGGCCACGCAATGAAACTTGAAATTGATAACACACGTTCGCAAACGACGAGCAACAATGATGAGGAAACACGACGGACAGGCCATAGATAACATATTTGTAACAACGCAGGTGCTTACGGCAACAAGGAATTTTCGTCCTTTTGGGTCTTCTCTCTCTCTCTCTCTCGATCTGTCTGTCTGTCTCTCTCTCTCTCTCTCTCCCGCGCCCCGCCTGCCGCTGGCGCGCCGATCCTGAAGGGCCACGGTGCATGGCGCAAAGCGCCAATGCAGTGCTGCACACGTACGTACATACCCACATGCATGCATGCATGCATACATTGATACCTACGTAAACGCACACACACACATACACACACACACACACACACTCCGCCACCCCTGCTGGAGCCCTGCCCTCAGCCCCCCGCCCCCGGCGGGCGCAGGCTGGAAGCGCACGCACGCCTCGGGCAGATGCGGGCCCGCCACGCGCCGCGCGCCGCGCGACGCGCCGCGCGCGCGCACGTCACGGGGTGGCAGTTGTGAGGCGGGAGCGCCTCCCCGTGCTTCAAGACAGCTGCACAGCTACACGGCCCCAAGGTGCCCACGGCCCTGCCGCTCAATCGCCGGGCGAGCGGCGGAGGGTAACGGGGTCGTTTGCACGGACACTGGCGCGTGAGCTGCCCGCGTGGGGTCGCGTGTAAGCGCCACCGTTTCCAATGCGGCGTGCCGCGTTTGCGGCCCGCGTGAGCCACTGCCGAAGGTCGCTACGTTATCTCGCGTAAGACTCTTTTTCGTGTCGTCGCCCAGGCCCTGCCCCGACGGGCGCGGCAACAACAGTGCCTGTCTGGTTCCGTTGCCGCACCTGGTGCGTTGACCTCCCCTGGCAGCCGAGCCAGCTTGAGGGCGAGGGCCGTGGTCGGCGGCACGCAGAGGCGGGTCGGCGCCCAGCGCCGCAAGGCACGCACCAAACCTTTTCCCGCGTCGCGGGGGGCTCGCGAGGTCGGGCGATCGGGGCTCTCGGCTGAGCCGTGCCCCCTGAACCCAGGGCCCCGACGTCGTGATGTTTTCACAACGTCGACCCCCAGAGGTCTGGACCCCTTCTCTGGGGCCGGTTTTTCGTCCCGAGTCGTTTTTTGACGGCCCCGAGGCCCGGGAACGGCCCCCTGAAGCCCACAATAGCGAAAACGTTCCCGTCGCGATTTTTGTCACAACGCGCGAGGGGGTCTGGGAAGTCCAAGAGCAGGTCGGGGCATTTTGTTCTCAGGGTGGTGCGGCTGCCCTCCTCGATGGAGGGGCCCTGTGGGGCGCCCGCAGCTCTCACCGTGCCACGGCCTCCTCGCGGGGTGCTTTCGACGGGGGGCGGCGCGCAGGAGACTCGGCGAGCCACCAGATGGTGCTGCACTCGCCCGCTCGCGGAGGTTGCAGGGTTGAGTCGGGCGTGTCCCTCTACAGGAGGAATATTCGAAAATAGGCAAGACATAGTCAAAAGAGACCTGTTTTACAATTTGTGCGCATGTTTGCTTAATGTTTAAGTGTTCTTCAGTTTTCGTCCCAAATCCCCCTCTAGGGGGACACGCCCGACTTGATTGCAGGGAACGACTCTGGTGGTTTGCTCGTTTCGGGGCGGAGGCGCTTCTGCTTTCAGAGCAGATCGTGAGGATGTCTCGAGCGAGGCGCCAGGCTTAGCTTGGCACCCCTAAGGGGGCGCCGCCAGGGGGCGTTCCACTCGCCCGGTTGCGGCCAGGTGGTGGGGAACGTCTCGTGCGGTTTGCTCGTTTCGGGGCGGGGGGCCCCTCGGCTTTCAGAGCAGATCGTGGGGACGTCTCGAGCGAGGCGCCTGCTCTGGCACCCCTAAGAGGGCTGCGCTAGGGGGTGTCGCACTCGCCCCTTCGCGGCCAGAGCGTCGGGGCGTCTTCGGCGAGGCGCTCGTTGGCGTGGCCGGGACCCTTCTGCCTTCAGGGCAGATCGTGAGGATGTCTATCAGGAGGGGAAAAACACACAGACACAATGAATCCTCGATTCACCAGAAAATGTGGGAACAGATGGGAAGTGGAGGGGAAGACAAAAACCCTGAAAAAAATATAAAATATGGGGAATCCTGTTGTTGTTGCGTATCTATTTTGTGTGCCCCAGGGCCCCTTCAGTCTAGAGCGAAGCCGACGAAACGCTCGTTCAGGCACCCCCGACCCCTCTCCACCCAGAGCCCCAAGAGCAGCCCGATGGGAGCCGCCGCGGATCGCCCAGTCGCCACGTGCTAAGATTTGCGTTCGCTCAGACGTGCGCAAACGGAGTGACGGGCGCAGCGGTGCATCCGTAGTCACACGCACCTGGGCATCCCGCGTAATGATGCTGTCAGTCCGCCACCGCAGAAGCCCTGACCCTTTCCCTGGGGGTACTTTTCATCCCGGGTCCATTTTTGATTGCCCCTGGGCCCGGAAACAACCCTCGAGGGCCGAAATCTAAGCCAAAAAGCTTGGGCAAAACGTGAACAGCATGCCGTCGGAATTCCGTTGCCATGTTGGCTCACGCAGCAGCTGTTTGTGCGCGAGCAGTTTTCGCCCTAGCTGCCTTATCAGCAAGCAGTCGCCATGGCGCTCAAGTCGAAGACGCTTCCGGTGCTCGTCCTGGCCGCGCTGTGCCTGGTCGCCTTGCGCGGGCTGGCGTTCGTGACGCCCTCTGGCGGCATGGCGGCGCGCGCTGGCACGGGCGCCCTCGCCGCGGGCGCCGCCCCGACGGTCGCGAGCAGCTCGGAGGGCGGCCTGGTGGCTATGCAGGCCCGGGGCGGCGCGGAGGGGCTGGAGGTGGAGGACCCGCAGCTGTACATCGTCGTGATGTGCGTGCTCTTCGGTGCTTCCGTCCTGGCCAACTCCAACGGCTTCTTCGGCCCCTGGTAATGTGGGCCTCCAAGATGGGGTCGGAGTCAATGACGTCGGAGGATCGCGCCGCATCGCCGATGCATCGGCGATGCGGCGCGATGTGGAGCCCGACTTCCTCCACGCCGACGGCGCCGATGCATCGCCGACGTCGCCGATGCATCGCCGATGTGTCCGCGATGTATCGCCGATGCATCGCCGATGCGGCGCGATCCTCCGACCCCATCCACTCGAACCCCATCTGGGAGGCCTCTGGGTGAGCACGCGCCATCAGGGGCGTGGGCATGCCGGCGGACGTGCACGTAGTTGTCCCTCTCCTGGCACTTGCTCGGAGGGGTGTGCCCCAGCTGTGAAGATCTGATGGCTCCCGCTCTTCGCGCATTGAGGCTAGGATTTATCAAGGGCCGCCAAATCGAAGAGGCTCCGATTTCACGACGGCTTCGGGATCACAGTTCCTGCGCAGTTGGAGTCAAGGAAAAAACATACCGTCGGATATGCGGGCTTACATGTGAGGCATTCCATACAGGGCCTCGCCTTCGAGGATCGATTGAGTTGCCATCTCTCCCTTTGCGGAAGGCGGCGGAAGGCGGCGGAGGTACAACGAGGGCGGCTCTGCTGGTGGAGGGCCGTCGGAAGCCGGCGGATGTAAGAAGTGCGCCCCCAAGCGATGGCAACGTTTTTAGGCTCCGGGCTTCTGGGGCCCGCCAGCTATTCTTGCTTCGGGTGCGAGCTCGCTGCGGGGCGGTGTCCAGAAGCAGCTGCCACACGAGAGCGCAAGGATTGAGTCGGCACGTCCCTCTACAGGAGGAATCTTCAAAACAGCATTTTATAAAGATACTGGGAACGATGTTTTGATAATCCTGGACCATTTTGGAAGGTGTTTTGACTATTTTCTATTTTTCGTCCAATTATAGCCGGAGTGCAGTATCCCCAAACAGGGTTTTTAGACCCACTGCGGTTTCCAAGGTCGATTGCGTGCCCGTCCAGTGCGGGCTGGCATGGCATGTTAAAACATGCCTCCTCCTCCTCCTCCTCCTCCTCCTCCTCCTCCTCCTCCTCGTCCACCTCCTCTTCATCCCGAAAGGCATCTCGGAGCCTAGAGTTGCGAGGATGTCTCCAGCGTAACGGGCTGGACCACCTCGCGCGCGGCATCTCGGACCCCAGAGTTGCGACGATGTCTCTGGCGAAACGTGCTGCGCGGAAGTCTCAGGCGAAACGGGCCGGACCACCTCGAGCGCGGCGTCTCAGAGCTCCGAGTTGCGGGGGCCTCCTGGTGCCTCCTGGGGCCTCCTGGGGACCTCCTGGAGCTTCCTCCTGGGCCTCCTGTGGCCTCCTGGACCCCACCTGGGGCTTCCTGAAGCCTCTTGGGGCTCACAGGGGGGATGTCTAACCTGTGGCCGTTTGGGCCTCTCCAAAATGGAGGGGAGGGCACAAGAGCAGGAAAAATCAACGAAACGACACCGGATGTGTATTAACTTGACACGTTCTGATAGGGGGCCTCCTGGGGCCTCCTGGGAGCCTCCTGGGAATCTCCTGGAGACCCCTGGGGCCTGTCCTGGGCGTCCTGCGGCCTCCTGGTGCCTCCTGGGGCCTCCTGGGGACCTCCTGGAGCTTCCTCCTGGGCCTCCTGTGGCCTCCTGAACTCCACCTGAGGTTTCCTGAAGCCTCTTGGGGCTCCCAGGGGGGATATCTAACCTGTGGCCGCTTGGACCCCTCAAAATACAGGGGGGGGCACAAGAGCAGGAAAAATCAACGAATCGACACCAGATGTGAATTAACTTGACACGTTCTGATAGGGGGCCTCCTGGGGCCTCCTGGGAGCCTCCTGGCAATCTCCTGCGGACCCCTTGGGGCCTGTCCTGGGCGTCCTGCGGCCTCCTGAAGCTCTCTGGGGCCTCCCCCTCCTCCTGCCTGCTCCCTCATGCACATCATCCGCCTCCTCCTTCTCCCTTCCATCTCCTCCTCCTCCTCCTCCTCCTCCTCCTCCTCCTCCTCCTCTTCGACCTCCTCTTCATCCCGAACGGCATCTCGGAGCCTAGAGTTGCGAGGATGTCTCCAGCGTAACGGGCTGGACCACCTCGCGCGCGGCATCTCGGACCCCAGAGTTGCGACGATTTCTCGGGCAAACGTGCTGCGAGGAAGTCTCAGGCGAAACGGGCCGGACCACCTCGAGCGCGGCGTCTCAGAGCTCCGAGTTGCGGGGGCCTCCTGGTGCCTCCTGGGGCCTCCTGGGGACCTCCTGGAGCTTCCTCCTGGGCCTCCTGTGGCCTCGTGAACTCCACCTGGGGGTTCCTGAAGCCTCTTGGGGCTCCCAGGGGGGATATCTAACCTGTGGCCGTTTGGGCCTCTCCAAATGGAGGGGGGGTGCACAAGAGCAGGAAAAATCAACGAATCGACACTGGATGTGTATTAACTTGACACGTTCTGATAGGCGGCCTCCTGGGAGCCTCCTGGGAGCCTCCTGGGAATCTCCTGGAGACCCCTGGGGCCTGTCCTGGGCGTCCTGCGGCCTCCTGGTGCCTCCTGAGGCCTCCTTGGGGACCTCCTGGAGCTTCCTCCTGGGCCTCCCTGTGGCCTCCTGAACTCCACCTGAGGTTTCCTGAAGCATCTTGGGGCTCCCAGGGGGGATATCTAACCTGTGGCCGCTGGGGCCCCTCAAAATACAGGGGGGGGCACATCAACGAATCGACACCGGATGTGTATTAACTTGACACGTTCTGATAGAGGGCCTCCGGGGGCCTCCTGGGAGCCTCCTGGGAATCTCCTGGGGGGCCCTGGGGCTTGTCCTGGGCGTCCTGCGGCCTCCTGGACCTCTTTGGGGCCTCCTGAGGCTCGCAGGGTGGGCCCCATGGAGGATATGTAACATGTGGTCTTCTGCGCCCCCAGGCTGGACCACCTCTCGCGCAGCATCTGAGAGCTCAGAGTTGCGAGAATGTCTTGTGCGAAACGGGCCGGACCACCTTGCGCACGGCATCTCAGAGCTCAGAGTTGCAAGGGTGTCTCAGGCGAAACAGGCCGACCACCTCGCGCAAGGCATCGCAGAGCTCAGAGTTTCGAGGATGTCTCAAGCGAAACGGTCCGGACCACCTCTCGCGCGGCGTCCCGGAGCGCAATTGTTCGAGGATGTCTCAAGCGAAACGGCCAATCCCGGCCAACTCAGAAACGAGAGTTGTGAGGATGTCTCAAGCGAAACGGCCAAAACCATAAAATTTGTGTGAGGATGTCTCTGCTCCGCCTTCCCTCGGCCGGAGTTAGTTCCTATCACAACAGCACCCCGTTCAGCAAGCTGTTTGGGGAAAAATCGTGACGTCGGATGTCTGGGGAGGGCGGAAGGCAGTGCGCGCAGGACGGATGCTGAGGCGGCAGAAACGACGACGGCGGGGACGGGGAGGCGGAGGCAGAGGCGCAGCAGCGGGAGGCGGGAGGCGGGAGGAGGGAGGAGGGAAGAGGAACCAGGCGGGAAGTGGGAAGAGGGAGGCGGGAGAAGGAATGAGAGAGGTTGTGATTGGAGCTCCTGTGCTACGAAACGTCTCAGGCAGAATGGGCCAGACCATCTCGCGCGCAACATCTTCGAGCCTCGCATTGCGAGGATGGCTCAATCGAAACGGGCCGGACCACCTCGCGAGCGACATCTTGGAGCTCAGTATTGGAAGGATGTCTCAAACGAAACGGGCTGGACAATTTTTCGCACACGTTTTGATAAGTCCACATCGCACTCGCTTCCCGTTAGATCCTCTCCTGCAACTCCCTTCCTTCTCCCTCCTCCTCCTCATCCTCCTCCTCCTCCTCCTCCTCCTCCTCCTCCCCCTCCTCCTGCTTGCTCCCTCATGCACATCATCCGCCTCCTCCTTCTCCCTTCCATCTCCTTCTCCTTCTCCTCCTCCTCCTCCTCCTCCTCCTCCTCCTCCTCCTCTTCCTCTTCGACCTCCTCTTCATCCCGAACGGCATCTCGGAGCCTAGAGTTGCGAGGATGTCTCCAGCGTAACGGGCTGGACCACCTCGCGCGCGGCATCTCGGACCCCAGAGTTGCGACGATTTCTCGGGCAAACGTGCTGCGAGGAAATCTCAGGCGAAACGGGCCGGACCACCTCGAGCGCGGCGTCTCAGAGCTCCGAGTTGCGGGGGCCTCCTGGTGCCTCCTGGGGCCTCCTGGGGACCTCCTGGGGCTTCCTCCTGGGCCTCCTGTGGCCTCCTGAACTCCACCTGAGGTTTCCTGAAGCCTCTTGGAGCTCCCAGGGGGGATATCTAACCTGCGGCCGCTTGGGCCCCTCAAAATACAGGGAGGGGGCACAAGAGCAGGAAGAATCAACGAATCGACACCGGATGTGTATTAACTTGACACGTTCTGATAGGCGGCCTCCTGGGGCCTCCTGGGAGCCTCCAAGGAATCTCCTGGGGACCCCTGGGGCCTGTCCAGGGCGTCCTGCTGCCTCCTGGAGCTCTCTGGGGCCTCCCCCTCCACCTGCCTGCTCCCTCATGCACATCATCCGCCTCCTCCTTCTCCCTTCCATCTCCTCCTCCTCCTCCTCCTCCTCCTCCTCCTCCTCTTCCTCCTCCTCCTCCACCTCCTCTTCATCCCGAACGGCATCTCGGAGCCTAGAGTTGCGAGGATGTCTCCAGCATAACGGACTGGACCACCTCGCGCGCGGCATCTCGGACCCCAGAGTTGCGACGATGTCTCTGGCGAAACGTGGTGCGAGGAAGTCTCAGGCGAAACGGGCCGGATCACCTCGAGCGCGGCGTCTCAGAGCTCCGAGTTGCAGGGGTCTCCTGGGGCCTCCTGGGACCTCCTGGTGACCTCCAAGAGCTTCCTGCTGGGCCTCCTGTGGCGTCCTGGACCCCACCTGGGGCTTCCTGAAGCCTCTTGGGGCTCCCAGGGGGGATGTCTAACCTGTGGCCGTTTGGGCCTCTCCAAATGGAGGGGGGGGGCACAAGAGCAGGAAAAATCAACGAATCGACACCGGATGTGTATTAACTTGACACGTTCTGATAGGCGGCCTCCTGGGGCCTCCTGGGAGCCTCCTGGGAATCTCCTGGAGACCCCTGGGGCCTGTCCTGGGCGTCCTGCGGCCTCCTGGTGCCTCCTGGGGCCTCCTGGGGACCTCCTGGAGCTTCCTCCTGGGCCTCCTGTGGCCTCCTGAACTCCACCTGAGGTTTCCTGAAGCCTCTTGGAGCTCCCAGGGGGGATATCTAACCTGCGGCCGCTTGGGCCCCTCAAAATACAGGGAGGGGGCACAAGAGCAGGAAAAAACAACGAATCGACACCGGATGTGTATTAACTTGACACGTTCTGATAGAGGGCCTCCTGGGGCCTCCTGGGAGCCTCCTGGGAATCTCCTGGGGGCCCCTGGGGCTTGTCCTGGGCGTCCTGAGGCCTCCTGGACCTCTCTGGAGCCTCCTGAGGCTCGCAGGGTCCCATGGAGGATATGTAACATGTGGTCTTCTGGGCGCCCAGGCTGGACCACCTCTCGCGCAGCATCTGAGAGCTCAGAGTTGCGAGAATGTCTCAGGCGAAACAGGCCGGACCACCTTGCGCACGGCATCTCAGAGCTCAGAGTTGCGAGAATGTCTCAGGCGAGACAGGCTGGACCACCTCGCGCAGGGCATCTCAGAGCTCAGAAGTAGGAGGATGTCTCAGGCGAAACGGGCCGGACCACCTCTCGCGCGGCATCTCCGAAGTCAGAGTTTCGAGGATGTCTCAGGCGAAACGGGCCGGACCACCTCGCGCAAGACATCGCAGAGCTCAGAGTTTCGAGGATGTCGCAGGCGAAACGGCCCGGACCACCTCTCGCACGGCACCTCGGGGTTCAGAGTTTCGAGGATGTCTAAAGCGAAACGGCCCGGACCACCTCTCGCGCGGCGTCCCGGAGCGCAACTGTTCGAGGATGTCTCAGGCGAAACGGCCAATCCCGGCCAACTCAGAAACGAGAGTTGTGAGGATGTCTCAAGCGAAGCGGCCAAAACCATAAAATTTGTCTGAGGATGTCTCTGCTCCGTGTTCCCTCGGCCGGAGTTAGTTTTTATCACAACAGCACCCCGTTCAGCAAGCTGTTTGGGGAAAAATCAAGGGTGGAAAAACCCACTCCGACCCCGACAAGTTTACCAAACAGCCCTGGGCGTTTACTAAACAGCCCTGCCCTGTTCGATTCCTTCCATGGGTGCGTTTACTAAACGGCTTCGCTTGTCGGGGTGCTTATTATGGGGGTGGATTTCCTGCTCTCTAAAAAAAACCCTGTAGGAGAACACGCCCGACCTAGCGCGAGGAGGAGGGCGGTGCTGCCGCAGGTCACCGGCCTCGACGCGCACGGCCGCGCCGTGGTCGTCGTCGACGGCGCGCTGCTGGGAGGCGCCGCGCCTCGCCGAGCCTGCCCCCCGCGGCCACGAGCTGACGACTAGCATTAAGCCGGGCACTTAAGAGTCCCCCGGGGGGTTGCGGGCGTGTGTGTCGGAGGGGGCCCCCGCTCGAGCGGGAGCCCCCTCGGGGCCCGACCGCTTGCACCCAGAACACCACCCACAGCGCTCTCCTCTCCTGGCCCCTCCCCCGTCCTCCTCCCCACAGGTCTGGCCGTGCGCGCGTGCGCGCGGGCGGGCGGGCGGGCGGGCGCTGCTCTTTCTCCACGCGCGTGGGCGGGCTCGCCACCCCTCGGGGGACTTCTGGGGGCCCACCCGTGGGGAGGTGTCTGGAGGGTCCGACGGAGGCGCGCCCCCTCGGAGGCCTCCGGCAGGCTGCCGGGGAGGCCCCCGGGAGGCCCGGCGGGGAGAGGCCCGCGCGCGGAGGCTTTCGAGAGAGGCCTCCCCGAAGCACGGACCCCGGAGGCCCTCGGGCGAGTCCTGCGGCGATCCTCCGGAGGCCCTCGGGAGGCCCTCGGGAGGCCGTCGGACGTTCCCAGGAGGCCCGTCGGAGGCCCTCGCGGGCCGCGCGCGGGCCAGGATGCCGAAGAGGACCAGCCGAGGCGATCATGGCGCACCAGCGCAGCCAAACCAAGCGAACATGTAGTTTTAACACACGTAAACATACACAAGCCATCAATCAGACAAACAAGCAAACAAACAGCCAGCCAACCAAACAGACAAACAAACAAGCAGCCAAGCAAGCAAGCAAACAAACAAGCAACAACGTAAGCCAAACAACAAAAACAACGAAGGTGGCGCAGCGACTCCACCGTAGCTTGATGCGCACGTGTCGAGGGAGTGCCTCCGCGCCCTCCTTCCGCGCGCGCCCGCAGACTGCCTGGCCCGGGAGAACCCCCCCTTGCGGCGAGCGAGACGTCAGCCCGGCGCCGACAGACACTGCGCCGACGCGCTCGCAGCATCCAGCTTGCTCTCGCAGGCGCGAAACATACACACTGTTCATTTCCAATTATTCGAAAGGTCTTTGATTTTTTGGGGGGCCAAGATCCTTTCATTTCTAGTTGTTTTATCCTGGGCCTCTTCCTGGTCACTGGGGGGCCAGGAACAATTAGAAACGAGCACAATCAGAAATGGCTCAGAAATGAACGACGTGTAACCATATCCACGGCCTCGCGGGCAGGGCTCCTGGCCCGCGAGCTCGTGATACGCGGCGTTCTCTCGCGGATGCCCCGCGCGCAGCGCAGCCCTAAGGCCGCGTACCCACGGGATGGCGCCTCGGAGCCCGGGCCGCGAGGGCGCGGATGTCAGACGTGGACATGGGCCAGCGATTGCAGAGGCTATCATTACGCCGGGGTGTGGTTTGCCGTCGGCGGAGTTGGGGCCTGGGGGGGCACGACGCTGTCCTCGTCGGGCCTCCTCGGGGCGCGGCGGAGAACTCGATCGAGGTCCCCGCCCGCCCCCCCAGGGTGACCCCCAGGGTGCCGGCGCGGCGGAGGACTCGATGTCGAGGTCCCCGCCCGTCCCCCCAGGGTGACCCCCAGGGTGCCGCTTGTAAGCCACACCCTTTGCAAGCCACACCCTTCGGAGTCGCCGACTGGGCGTCGCTCGCGGTGATTGCCGTGGCTTGGCCTGGGCTCCAGCGCCCGCGCCCCAGGCGACGCCGCCGCCCAGCTGCGCCTCGTCGCCTTCAGCCTCGCGCACGCGGTGCGCCGCATGGAGGCCCGGGGCCCGCGGATCGCCCGCGTCTGCGGCGGCGCCGTCGACCGAGGTGTGGAGGAGGAGGAAGCACAGGGGGAGGGAGACAGGAGAAGGGGGGTGGAGGGACGAGGAGGGGGGGGGAGAGGAGGGGGAGGAGGACGAGGACGAGGGGAGGTATCTCTTCAAAGCTGCGCAACTCCTGGGGCGCAGGGCACACCGCTTCCCTCGACGCGTGGCAAGCGCGGTCGCGCGCCGGCGATCAGAGAGTGTCGCCTTCGCTTCTCAGACTTCTCAGAGCCCAGGTCATCCGCGGAAGTTGCGCTCCCGCTCAAGAGTGGCTCGTTCTCAGAGGGAGAAGAGGTACAGATACAGCTACCCTGTCCGCGTTTTCGATTCCCCGGGCATCCTGGAAGGCCCTCGTCGCCACGGCTTGATTCGCTCCGAAACTCCAGTCAGAACGCACCCGAGGCGACATGCCCAGGGGGGGGTGTCGCAGCACCTCGTTCGGAAGTGGACGATTAGAACCAGATTCCAGGTTCATCGTCGTCGTCGTTGTCGCCGTCGAGGCCGCCAGGCTGCCGCCAGCGACCCATACCAGAAACAATGACTCGTTCAGTCGTCCTTTGCCGATTTGTTGTTCAACCGTTCGGCCGTATGAGTGGTATCGAGATCTCTTTGGTAAGCCTTGCTCACGGTGCACGAAAGGTGCGTTCTTAACCCCCACAATACAGCACACGTTAGCGAGCGTGAAACCCAAACAACATGTACGCGTCTAGCAACTTATGGTGTGTAAAATATGTGGACCAGTGCAGGTTGTCTGATATAGGCGGTGCAATCCAAGTTGTGCAATCTATGTTGTGCACGCTATGCTGTGCAACATGTGCGGTGCAATGTGTGTGGTGCATCCTCTGTGATGCGCAATATATATATATATATATATATATATATATACACATATACATATACATATACATATACATCGGTAGTTCTATATGTAGTGCAGTTGACGTGGTGCAACGTAAGTGGTGAATCCATGTTGTGATGTCTATGTTATCCTATATATGTGGTGCAACCAATGCGGCGCAATATACTGTTGCACTCTATGTCGTGTCATCTATGTTGTGCAATCCATGGTGATACATCTATATATATACACATATCAGAGCGAAAGGGGCCGAACGGTCATTCATTTTCCCTGGGTGCGTGGCTGAACTTGGAATTCGTGGTGGGAATTCTGCTTGTTGCGTTGTTGTTGTTGGTGCTGTTGTTGTTTGTTGTCGTCGCCCCTCCCGCGACCCACCCGTGACGCACCCCGCGACCCACCCCGCGACCCACCCCGCGACCCACCCGGCGACCCACCCCGCGACCCACCCGCGACCCAACCCGCGACCCACCCGCGACCCAACCCGCGACCCACCCGCGACCCACCCGCGACCCATCCGCGACCCACCCCGCGATCCACCCGCGACGCACCCCGCGACCCATCCGCGACCCATCCGCGACCCACCCGCGACCCACCCCGAGACCCACCCGCGACACGCCCCGCGACCCACCCTCAAGGGAGGAAAAACCACCCGTACCCGACAGTTCACATTTACTAAACGGCCTTGGGCGTTTACTAAACAGCCCTGCCTTGTTCGATTCATTCCTTGTGTGCGTTTACTAAACGGCTTCGATTGTCGGGGTGTTTATTATGGGGTGGATTTTCTGCCTTCTACACCCGCGACCCAACAACGACCCACGCGCGACCCATTTGCGACCCACCCGCGACCCATCCGCGACCTACCCACATTGGTTTAACAAAAAAATCGGCGCCTGCGGCGGACTCGTTGTGTAATTGGTAAAAGTCTGGCACTTGCGGCAGGCTTCTCCAGAGTCTCGCAAACTGCCGACGTCCCCACCGCCCCCTCACTCTTATCCGCATCTGCGGAGTGCTACGTCTATGCGCCATCTATGTGGTGGAATCGATGTGGTGATATTTACATGGGGAACTCGCAGTTGTCAGCTTCACTGCTCGCGCAGTCATCCCACCCACCTACCCGCGACTCGCCTTGCAAAAGACGAGCGACGGCGATTGCCATCACCAATTGGATGCAGTTCGCATTGCCATCGCCGATTTGTTTTTAATCCGCACGTACGTTTACACATATGTTTCCCCCGTTCTGCGCCCCCCCCGCCCTATTTCAGGCTATCTAACAACTTGCCCATACAAGCCATGAGTGCTTGGCGTTGGCTGGTGCATCTGTGCGGCCGCGCCAGCCCGCGCATGCACTTTTGGCGCGACCGAACGGCCGCGGTGGCGCTGACCGCTGGGCACATCCCAGCGGGCACTTCAGTGCGAGTCGGCGAGTTGGGCGGGCTCGGTATCATGGCAACGCCGACAACGGTAGACACGAGGATGATAGTAGCGATGTTGACGAAGATGTTGACAACGACGATGGCACGGCCAGTTACGGCGCCGACGCTGATCACGCCAACGACGATGTCGGCGTCCTCGCGTCGGTGATGAAGATTTTGGATGGAGTTCGACATGCGCGCGCGGCCGGCGCGCGAGAGTGGCCCACATTGTATTATTTGACACGGGCCGTGCCCCCCTCCCCCGCACGCGCGCAAGGGCTTTCGAATGATCCCGGCATGCGGCGCGAGAGGCCCGCTTGGCTGAATCCCGTAAAGTTGAATTTTGTTTTTAGTTCAGGAAAACTCGCAAGAGCGCGAACGCAAGTTTTTTTGAACACGGCTGTTGCGAAGCAATTTGTTTTTGTTTGTTCATTTTCGCGGCACGTGGTTTTGAGATCCTTGCGAAACCTAAGGATTCTCACGGATGTCGGCATGCGCGCGCGACGACGCAGGCGCGTGCACTTCGTTTTGCCTTTTGCAAAGGATTTTCGGGACAGCACACACGCGCCGGGGCGTTCAAACGATTTTGACATGCGCGCGTTCGAAGCCCCTTTGGTAGCCATGTTCTCTGAAAACGTTTTCTTTTTATAAATCAAAAAGAAACGAAGGTTCTCTTAAGAACTCGCAAGAGCGCGAGCGCAACATTTTGTACTAGACTATTTGTTATAAACAAAACGTGTTGCGAAACTATGTTTATATATGTTGTTTGGGCATTCGATGTTTGAAACCATTACGACACCACATTTAATGTTTATATATGTGTACATATACATATGTTTATATATATACACATACTTACATACACACATATATATATATATATATATATATATATAGATACACACCTATACGACCACCATTCGGGTGATAAGGAGGTTGTGTGGGGGGGAGAGGGACGGGAACCAACATCTGATTCAATCGATTTCACGATCGGTCTCACGCAACGGGACACCACGGAACACCGCGGGACACCACGGGACACCACGAGACACCACGGGACACCTGTCGATCTCACTATCGAACTCATTATCGATTTCGTTTTTTGGGACACCACGGGGCACCTTGGGTTACCACATCGATCCCAGTATCGATATCATTATCAATCCCACGATCAATCTCATCGATCTCACGATCGATCTCACTATCGATCTCACTCGACGGGACACCACGGGACACGGCGGGACAGCGAGGGCCACCGCCAGACGGAGGATTAACATTTGCCTTGACTTCGCCCTAGAAGCGGCGGACACCACGGGACACCGCGGGACAGCGAGGGCCACCGCCAGACGGAGGAGAATCATTTGTCTTGGCTTCGCCTTAGCAGCGGCGGACACCACGGGACACTGCGGGACACCGCGGGCCACCGAGGGCCACCGCCAGACGGAGGAGAATTATTTGTTTCGACTTCGCCCTAGCAACGGCGGACACCACGGGACACCGCGGGCCACCGAAGGCCACCGCCGGACGGAGGATAATCATTTGTCTTGACTTCGCCCTAGCAACGGCGGGTTCATTCCTCTCGCGCGCCCACGCAGCTTCGCCTCGCCCGCACGCACGACACGAACGTAACGAAACGATTTCCCGGTTGGGGGTCTCCGTTCCATTGCGATCTCACCCCATCAACCTTCGATCTAAACATTAAAATAATAGCAACAAAAAACACGGCATCCGCACGCGACGATATGCGCGTGTGTTCTTGAAAACGGATGGTTTGATAAGCGAACACGCGTGCATAGTGTTGTTTTCAGAGGATGACGGGGGGGGTCGATACCGGCCTGGCTGGGACGGTCTGAACTCATAGCTAAGATGGACGATGGGGGCGGTGCATCGGGCCCCAAATCGCCCAGCGATCGCCGATAGGGGCGCGATAGCCCGCCCCACCAAAGGGACATGCGGATTCGCCATTGGGCGCCCATCGCCGAACTATCGGCGATGCGTCGCCGATCTCGATGGACCCCCCTCCGGGCCTCTGGGTTGGACACACACCCCCCGGCGTGGCCCCTCAGAATCGGCTCGCCGATCATGCGCCAAGCCGCTGAAAGTGGGGCCACGCGCGAGCGGGCGCCTTCCGCCCGCCACGCGAGAGCACAGTCAGCCCTGGCTTCGAGTCGTGTAGACGCTGGCTGGTATGTTAAAAGAGGGGGGGTGAGCGGGCGGGGCCGGCCACGTCCCGGCCACATCGCTCGAGCTGGCTGGTTTATCACGGCTCCCACTCTTACTCCCCCCCGCTCGACTTCCTTCTCCCCTCGCCTGCCCCTCATCGTCCTCGTCGCTCTCCTCGCCCTCCGCCTCCTTCTCCTCCTTCGCATCCTCCCAAGACGGCGGAGAAAGGTCCAGGTAGGACGGAGGAGGCGGAGGAGGAGGAGGAGAGGAGGAGAGGAGGAGGAGGAGAAAGATGAGGAGGAGGAGGAGGAAGAGGAGGAGGAGGAGGAGGAAGAGGAGGAAAACGACGAGGGAGGCCCCCCCTGCTTGGATAGCAGGGGCCCCGTCAACGATTCGGAGACAGCCCATTGGCGGAGCAGGTGTGGCGGTGGGCGCCGCCTGCACCGGCGGGGTGTAAATTGAGCCAGGGACCAGGCCGCAGGACTGGCGGAGGCAGGTGGGGGGGGCGATCGGGGGTTGGTGGCTTGGGTTCCCCCCCCCCTGCTGGGGCCCCCCCCCCACCAGCTCGGGGTCCCCAGGCCCCACTCGTCGCTCGCCGCCCACTCGGGCGAGGCCGGCGGGGCGCAGAGCGCTGTGCGGCGGCGCTCGGCGCGGGCGCGTTGCGCCGTGCCGCCGTGCGGTGCCACGTCACTGCGCGGGTCGCGTGGGCGCGTTGCGCCACGCGACAGGGGCCTTTGGGGCGCGCGGGCGCTTGTGGGCCCCACCCCCAGGGCAGCAGCGAAGGTGATGCGCGGTCTTGAGGCCCGTCCCCGTGCGCACCCCAGTCAAAGAAGACAGCGAGGGAGGGGACGGAGGAGGAGGAGAAGGAGGAGGAGGAGGAGGCAGATTTGGGCAGAGGAGGAGAAAGAGACCTTCTCCATATCCAGGGCTCGCGGGCGGAGAAGTACGTGATCTTCATCCACCTCTCCGGCTTCTCGCTGTCCTCGAGCCCGTCGCGGGCGCTGCTGAAGGACGGGTGCCCTCGAGCCCGATCCGCAGAGGCGGCACCTGCTGGGTGGGAGGGAGGGGTGGACGAGGGAGGAGGAGGAGGAGGAGGAGGAGGAGGAGGAGGAGGAGGAGGAGGAGGAGGAGGAGGAGAGGTGACGAGGAGGAGGGGCAGGGGGGGGAGCGAGGAGGAGGAAGGACGAGGAGGTGGAGGGCGTCCTTCGTCCTTCTTCCAGCTCCCGACCGCGGCTCGCGTTCGTGCAAGCAGGCGCCTCCTGTGAGCAAAACTCTGCGGCTCGCGGTCTCGCCCCGCCCGCGCGCCGACCGAGCGCAAGGAATCTGAACTCGGGGGGTGTCTGGGGTCTGGACGGCTCTCAGAGGCAGGTATGATATTGCGAAGGCCTTACGGCCGTTGCCGCCGACCCTGAAGATGACGAAAGACAACACGAGGGGGGGGGCAGGAGGAGGAGGAGGAGGAGGAGGCGGAAGGGAGTAGGAGGAGGAAGGGTGAAGGGGGAGGAGGAGGAGGCCTTATGGATGTTGGTTGGGATCTCGTGGTTGACCTCTCGGGGGCGTCTGGAAGGCAACTTGAAGCCTCTTGGGGGCCGTTGTGGGGCCTCTTGGGGCCTCTTTTGGGCCTCTTGGGGCTTCCGGAGGCCGTCTTCGGCGCATCTTGGGGGCGTCTTGGCGCCGCTCGGGGGCCTCTTGGGGCCTTTTGGGGGCCTCTTGGGGCTTCCCGGGGGCCTCTTAGGGCGGAAGTCTCGAATTCTCGGTTCCTCGTCCCCCTCTTGGCTGTTTCTTGGGCCCGTCTTGGGGCCCTATTGGGCCGTCTTGGGCGCCTCTTAGGCTGTCCTGGGGCCTTCTTGGGCCGTCTTGGGGCCCTCTTGTAGGCCTCTTGGGGCGCTCTTGGGGGCCTCTTGGGGGCCTCTTGGGCCGTCTTGGAGTGTCGGAAAGCCGAACAGGCGAGAAGGCCAAAATCATTCAAAAACCGATGTAAGATTGACGATTTTGGCGCCTGGGGCCCTCTTGGGTGTGCTCTTGGGGCTCTCTTGGAGCGTCTTGAGGGCCTCTTGGGCCGTCTTCGGGCCGTCTTGGGCGTCTTGGGGCCATCGTTCGTCGAGTCGAGGCCCTCTTGTACCCTTTTGGGGGTGTCTTCTGTCGCTCTTGGCTCGTCTTGAAGCTTTTCTGAGCTCCGGGACCCCCCGGGGAGGATGCGTATCTGGGTGGCGACCCCCCCCGGCGACCCCCCCCCCCCCCCCGGCGGGGAGGGTAGGGAGGGGCTTCGCCACGACTCAACTACGACGTTGCTCAATGTCGCTTTGGCTCGCGCGCTCAAGGAGACGGGGAACGACGAAGACGACGAGGGACAACGGAGACGGAGACGACGAGGACACGACGGAGACGACGACGACGACGACGACGACGACGACGACGACGACGACGACGACGACGGTGATCCACGCAAGACGACGACACCGGGATGCGTCTTCCACACGCCGACAGGGTCGGCGGATTTGGGGCCTCCTCGCACGTCGGCGCATGCATTCCCGCGGGCAAGGTCGCCGAGTCGGGTGCAACCCACTGGCCCGTTGGCCTGATGGATAAGGCGTCGGCCTCCGGAGCCGGAGATTCCAGGCTCGAATCCTGGGCGGGTTACTTGATGGCGGGCACGGAGGCGCTCTTTGCGCGAGGGTGGTCTATGGTTCGTCTTGGGGCGCCTGATGATTTGGATTTGAGTTTGGATGGCGCGGCTTGCGGGAGACTGCTGAGCGATCAAGTCACAGAGCCGCATGCGCTCCTCATGGTGATCTCTCACACCGTTGGCGATATCGGGTTCGATTCGGATTATGTGCCCCTGGTCCGTGCTTTGAGGCAGCCACGAGCTCAGGTAGTCGCCTCCAGTTCGATGCTCGATCTCTGGTCTCGCATCTGTTCGGTCCTCGATCGTCGCTCTGGTCGCGTCGAGGCCCTGTGGACCAGAAGCCACTCGACGGCCCATCAGCGCGCCCAGTCCGCCATATGAGAGGAAGAATACTTGTTGAGCTGGCGTGCTGATTCTACTGCAGGCCGGGCAGCACAATTATGTAGTCCCACTCTTGAGCAATCTGATTTGACTGGGTATATCGACTGCCTCACCTCTGCGACCTTGGATCGGTTGCTTGCTGTGCACGGGGGGGTGGTCCAGGCTATTCCTCGTCGCGTCTCTGACTGGCCCGGCCGCCCGCCTCCCCGACCCGTTCATCTCCCCTCCTTCAGGGTGAGGCGCGATCGGTTGCGGAGGGCTGGCCACGAGCCTGTCAAATGAGGCTGCGCGCTCAAGTCTCAAGTGTCAGATATGTGTTCGTAAGTTTTATCTGCGTGGCCCAGGGCGTCTTTTCTGCCCTGGATGGTGTCTTGGATCTTGGCACCTCGCTTCTGGCCCCCTGTCGGGCACCCCTTGCATCCGAAGTGTTCCGCCACACACACACACACACAGGCTTGAGGTGGTCTGGGGAGTTTTGTATTTTGTATGGTGACAGGTGTGGCGCACATGCCACAGTGAAGGCACAGAGACTTGCTCATCCTTGTAAGGCCATTGATCGGGCTCCCACCAAAGGCTTGGGAGAGCGGTTGGTCCCGTCTGTCCAGGGGCCTCCCCAGGCAAGGTGGAGGTCGCTCGCTTCCCCCAGGTGTGATGTGTTACTATTGTGCCCAGGCTGGACCTGGTCTCCACTGGCCTCTTCTGAATCTCTACTTCCTGCCTCCCTCCCTCGCTCCTCCTATGCATCCTCTTCCTCCTCCTCTTCCTCTCGAGGAGGGCCTCCCTCTTTTCTCGGAACCGCCCGGCCAGGACGCCGGGGCCCTGATGTCGACCAGCTTCCCCGAGCGGTGCGGCAACGTCGTGTTCCACCAGGAACCGCGGAGGGCGGGGGGGGGAGGAAGGGAAGGAGAATATCGGTTCGGCGAGTCCCAAGAGCGGCGAATTGTTGATGGAAGTGGCAAGGAGGCTGAGCCGCTCACGTTTCCAAGCGAGTAGTAGTTGTTTAGCGATGGATTGTACTTTCATTCCGATCTCACTGGTGCCAGCTGCGCGGGCTGGGCTGTCGTGCAAGTGGACGAAAGCTTACGAGCAGGGAAAGCTGCTGCGGATCATCAGAGGACCAGGCCCCAGATTCCTGCCGCAGACAGCTGTGGAAGCAGAGCCTCATGCCTTGGTGACTGCTTGGCAGCAGACGGGCCCAATCAGCCAGAGCACGCAGCTTCAGGAGAGGACTGCAAAGCTTTGCTCCCAAGATCGGGAGCGGGGGTCCTGGCTGGGGATGTGGGGGGGTGGGGTGTGATGGACCCATTTCCCACCACCACTGTCATAGGTAGGAAAGGGAGGAGGAGGAGGAGGAGAACCTCCTCATCCTCCCATCTCACCCTGCCCGGCGTCCTGGTGGTGGTGGTGGAACCTTTGCCCACTAGGTTGTGTTGTCCTCGGCGAGGGAGGAGGAGGAGGAGGAGGAGGAGGAGGAGGAGGAGGAGGAGGAGGATAACCTCCTCATCCTCCCATCTCACCCCGCCCGGCGTCCTGGTGGTGGTGGTGGTGGAACCTTTGCCCACCAGGTTGTGCTGTCCTCGGCGAGGGGGGGCCGGCCTCCGGGCCGTGGGCCTCCGCCACTCGCCCGGGGCGAAGTGCTGGGCGCCCCCGGGACACCACTTGGGCGAGACGCAGCTGCTCGCGCTAGCAACCCGAGGCGAGAACATGTCCAAGAGCCAACACCTCAGAGAAGGAAAAGGTACCCATACCTCTGCCCTTCCCTCGTTTTCCCCTTTTTGGGCCTCCTGGGAGGCCCTCGTCGAAACCGCTGGATTCGCTTCGAAATTCTGGTCAGAACCCACCCCAGGAGAGGTCTGGGGAGTAGCGGTATGGGTACCTTTTAGTTTCCCCAGCTTCTCATTGAACCAGTATCGTTTAACCGACCCCCATCCCCATCCCCTTCGAGACCCCCACAAATTACCCTCCCCCTGTTGGGGATAATCGCACCCCTCGGAGCCCGAAGGGAACGGCCTATACACCCCCGACTACAGGGGGGCAAATCGGCCGGTGGGGCCCAGGCCACGCCGCTGGGGATGGGGATCGGAGAAGGGCTCAGACGCTGTCCGCGCCAGGGGCTCCCGCCCTCGGGGCGGATCGGCGCGCCCCTCTCGGTGCCGTCCGTCGCCTATCGGGGTCAACTTAAGAGCCATCGCGGGGTCGCACTGGAATCGAGGGATCTCAAGATCGGTCTGCGGACCCCTCCTGGTGTCCAAGCGCATCAGTTATCCGAGCTGCGTCCAGCCGTGGCGACGAGGAGGCCCCGCGAAGGCCAACTGCCCTTGTCTCAACGGGCCCATCTGTGACCGCCCCATTCCCGGCGCGTCACGCTTTGAGATCGTCGTGCGGCGTCGGCGTGTCGACCCCGCAGTCTGCATTTTCGAAGCGTGACCACAGATTTGCCACAGAAATCTGGATGGCTGATGTGGCATTGTGACCCTGCACTCCAGTAGCGCGCGCGCAGCGAACCAAGACATGTCACGGGGAGGGGGAAGAGTGAGGGAGGAGTGACAGGAGTGGTAGGAGGACGGAGAAGGAACGAGGACTCTTGGCCTTCGGGGGGCCCTCCTCATCGCCATGCCTGGACGCAGCTACACAAACTTACGCGTCTGGACCCTGGGAGCGGCCCGGTTGCCCACTTTTGGGCATATTAAAACCGACGGAGTGGGCGCGCTGGCGCTGGGATCTTCCCCTCCGCTTCCCGCCGTCATCGTCCTCCTCCTCCCCCTCCCCCTCCCTTCCGACTCCATGTCCGTCTGCCCCCTCCCTGGCATGAGGGTTCCATGTGTTGGGGCTTCTATTCCGTCAGACAGCGGCCGCTCTTCCAGATTCACATTTTTGTTGTTCGGTGGGTCTGTCAGAGTTTCGCCTGCTGCCTGCTTGGTGGGTTGCCGCCCGCGGGCGCCCCGCGCTTTGGGCGGGTGCGCCGAGGCGTCGCCCGATCCCTCCCGTGAGGGCGGGTGGTGCTGCAGGCGTGCCCTCATAATTCAAGGGAGAAAAAGCAAAGGAGGAAAAGGTACCCATACTTCTACCCTTCCCTCGTTTTCCCCTTTTTGGGCCTCCTGGGAGGCCCTCATCGCCACCGCTGGATTCGCTTCGAAATTCTGGTCAGAACCCACCCCAGGAGAGGTCTGGGGAGTATCGGTATCGGTACCTTTTGGTTTCCCCATAAACGGCCCTTGGCTTTTACTAACAGTCCTGCCCTGTTCGATCCCTCCCTGGGGTGCGTTCACTAAACTGCCTCGGCCGTCGGGGTGGTTCTTCTGGGGGTGGATGTTTTTTGCCTTCCAGCTGTGCGTAGCCCGCCTAGCTTTTAGCGGAAGAGGTTCGCTCTCGCCCCACCGACCAAAACATGTTTGTTGCCTTCCAACAATGCATGCCCCCCCTTCATGGTGCACTAGGTCTCGCGAGAGGCTCCGCGCTTTCGCCGAGGGGGAGGGCCCGAGCGCCTCGCGCGCCGGGTGGGCGCGCCGAGCCTCTGCCCCGCGCCCGCCCGTGGCCGGGCGCCTCGGGGGGCGCCTCGGGCGCCCGGGCGCCGGGTGGTCGTAGGTGCACCGTGGGCGGCCGATTCGCGGCCGCCCGGCGGGCGGCCGCCCGGCGGGCGGCCGCACAATTGCAACCCGCAGCTTCGACAACGCAGTGTTCACCGCAGTTTTTTTTGAGATCTCTCTCTCTCTATATATATATATATATGTGTATATATATATATATATACAAGACTGCATTGGCGCTGCGCGCCATGCACCTTGGTCCCTTGGATTTCGCACGCTAGTGGAGTGCGAGCGTGCGTACATGCGCACACACATGCGTCTTATGAATGCATAGTACATATGTACATATATATATATATGTATATATATATACGTTTGTATGGATATGTACATGTATATGCAAATGGTCAGTGTAACTATGTGTGCGCATACACATGCGTATATCAGGCGGTAGTGGCCTGACCAGTTGCTCGTATCATCGCGCCACTAAAGGCGCAAGGGTCTCAGGCAAACGTGGTCAGACTACCATGGGAAAATGCGTCGCCGAGGTCAGTGTTGCGAGGACGCCCTGGGTGAAAATGGCCTGAACACCTCCGCTCAGGGGAGGGCATCTCCGAAGTCAGCGTGCGAGGAAGTTTCAAGCGAGGAGTGGTCTGAACACCTCTGCTCAGGGCATCCTTGAACTTAGAGTTGCGAGAAGTCGCACGCGAAAGTGGCCGAACCACCATGGTGCAAGGCACCTCCGAAGTGAGACTTGCGAGAGTGTCTCAGGCGACAATGGCTGGAACACCTCAACTGAGAGTGTCTCGGGCCCCAGAGCTGCGATGATGTCTCAAGCGAAAACGGCGGGGCCGATGCGAAGCAAGGCGCTTCTGAGGTCGGAGCTGCGAGCATATCTCTGGCGAAATTGATTAGACTACGTTCCGTTATCTCTTTTTCCTCCTTCCCTTTTTCCTTTTCCTCCTCCTCCCCCTCCTCCCCCTCCTCCTCCTCCTCCTCCTCCTCCTCCTCCTGTTCCTCCTCCTCTTCCTCTCCCCCCTCTCCGCTTCTATGTTTGCCCATTCTCCCCATCCCTGGCGGCGCGGCGCGGTGCCGCTCGGCCTCTCTGCGAGTCAAGCGGAGGAGGAGGAGGAAGAGGAGGAGGACCTTGCAAGTGTTCGTGCGGCCGTGAGTCCCCAGGGAGCGTTTCCCCAGGATGTATGCTGAAACCGAAGGTTCCCGACGGCCTGATCTCCGAAGTGTCACGAAAACCCTAGTTCCCAACAGCGCGTCCGGATGAAATGGCGTCGTGGCCCCGACGGTTTGCATTGAGCGCTGCGGGAAGCTCAGTCGAGGCGGGAGGAGGAACATGAGGAGGATGAGGAGAAGGAGGGGGAGGAAGAGGAGGATGGTGAAGAGGAGGAATAGGATGAAGAGGACAGATTGTGTGGATATCTGGGGCGCAGCCGAGGTGTCGCGGAACAAATCCGCAGCAGAGACTTGGGAGAGCGAGGAGAGCTGCTTCTGCTAGACCGTTGGCGGGGCGGAACGTGAAACACCACGGGGAATTAGGAGCAGGAGGAGGAGGAGGTAGAGGAGGAAGAGAATGAGGGAGAGGAGGAGGCTCAGGAGGAGCTCTTGGGCCCTTCGGTGGTTTGAACGGAGAATGGCCTCGCTGCGCCATTGGATGCGACAGCGACGACGACGAAAAAGGCGACGACAAAGAGAAGGGATAATGAGAGGGGGAGACCGCTGTGTTGGGATCTCGCGGTGCGCCTCTCGGGGCCCTCTGGGAGGCAGTTTTGAAACGGTTTGGGGGTGTTTTGGGGTTCTTGGGGCCTTTGTGGGGCCTCTTGGGGGCCTCTTGGGGGTTCCTTGGGGCCTCTTGGGAGCCTCTTGGGGCCTCGTGGGGCTCTCTCCAAGCCTCTTGGGGCCCTCTCGCGGCGGAAAATTTAGTTTTTGATTTTTTTAGGCGCCCTCTTGGGTCTCTCTTGGGGCCGCCTTGGTGCTCTCTTGGGCCGTATTGGGCGCCTGTTGGGCGGTCTCGGAGCCCTCCTGGACCTTGTTGGGGTCTTCTTGGGGGCCTCTTGGGCAGCACTGGGGCGATCTAGGGGGCCTTTTGGGCAATTGTGGAGCGTCGGGAAGCGGGAAAAGCGATACGGCCCAAAACATAGAACAACACATAGGAAAATCAACAATTGTAGCCTCTCGGGGGTTCTCTTGGGAGGCCTCTTGGGGGTCTCTGGGGGCGTCATGGGCGCGTCTTGGGCAGTCTTGGGGCCAGATTGGGCGTCTTGGGCCGATCTCTGGGTGTCTCGGCGCCCTCTTTGGCCGTCGTGTTTTTTTTTCGCGTCGCACTCGCAG